TGTCAAGTATGGTTTAGTGGTAGTAAGTAGGATAGTTGGTGATAGAAAACACTTTTGAATTGTACTTAAGAATTTCTTATCTATGAAATTCTCCGTTTTTCCTCCTTTTGTTTGTGCAAAAACCATCAGATTTATCTTAAAGGAGTTTCCACATTTTCCTTTTTGGTGTCCAACAACTCCACTGATGATGCAGTACGACGCGACAACTTGTTCTTGCCAAATTCCATAGTTGAAATGTGTTTTGGGGTTTCCATCTAACATGGTTAGAAGCTTGATGCTTGGTTTGTAATCTCTCATGCAAGATTTTAATGTATTACGTGATGCACAGATTGCAAAGAATGAACTTTTTTAGAGATTGGAATCCTTGATTCTCTCGACGCATATCGTCAGTAGATTTACATGGATCGTAATGCTGATGGAAAAAGAGTGATCTTCAGACAAAGAATTGGTGTGTATAATAGAAATGAACATTTTTTGGATGGAAAATATGTTGAAATTACAAGTTGCAATACAATTTGTAGAGTTGTTGGAGTGTATTGAAGATTTTTTGGTTTTGATTTACCAATTTCATGGTTAAGTGGTTTAGTGGTAAAGACGCGAGACCGAGGATTATTGGGGCATGAATTGGGGATAAGTTATGAGAAGTAGCTTTGAATATATTAAATATGGGATTAGAGATATTCTTCATTTTTCATTTATAGTACATATATTGCAGTATATTTGGTGAAAATAGTTTGAAAATGTAAAAAATGAATCTAATATAAATTTGAGATGCATGGAGACATTTTCACTTTTAATTAATAAGTTGGTCCACTACTTTCTTATACCGACCATTTTGCATATTATTTTATTGAATATGATTTTGTCATTTTCTTATTTTACGGACTCCAAATTCATCGGGAAAAAAAATAAAACATTGTTATATATTTACTATTTCAGATGGAACGTTTCTCTCTCCTTGATGGCCCACTTCAAGTCCAAGTCCAAATTTTTGGCAGTTTGTTGACTGGATATAGAGATGGTAACGGGGTGAGTTCGGGGCGGGGCACCCCCGCCCCACCTTGGACGGGGCCAATTTTATTTTATTTTATTTTTTTTTTTGTAATGGAAATAAATTTCATAATCAGTT